AAGGGACAATCATGGACGGTAAGGTGAGTGAGAGTGTGGAGGGAGCGAGAGAGAGTGTGAAGCTCGAAGGGATCAATGGAGTAGGAGAGGACGGAGAGAGAGGTGAGGGTGGGGAAGCGGCAAAGGGAGGAAAGGAAAGACTGGAGCTTTGCGGAGTGGGGGGTGAGGGATTTGAGGGTGGGGGTGAGAGAGGAGGAGGAGGAGGCGACGGAGGAGAGAGTGGGGGGTGCGGGGTTCCAGAGAGTGAGGGAGGTGAGGGAGAAGCAATGAGTGAGGGAGGTGAGGGAGGAGCAGCGAGTGGTTGGCTTTAATTTTGAGGTATGGATGAAGAGAGAGAGGGAGTGAAGGGAAGGGAAGGCATGGAGAGGAGGGAGGGGGTTGTGAGTGGCATGGCGGTAGATGTTGGGGCGACGACGGGCGAATGGAGAGTCCAGCGTCAGGAGCCTGATAGGAGGGAGGAAAGAACGGGTGGGAAGAAAAACGAGTGAAGAGAAGGGAAGGCGTGGACGGGAGGGAGGGGGCTGTGAGTGGAATTTTAGTAGATGATGGGGCGATGGGCGAATGGAGAGTCGAGCTCGAGAGATGTCAAGAGGCTAAAAATAGGGGGTAAAGAATGGAAAAGAAGCTTGAACGAAAGGGAGGGAGAGATTTGGGGGGAGGGGGGGGGAGGGGGAAGAGGACGAGGGGAAGGCCGGCTAACGGGGAATCGAGCTTGGGGGATGCCAGGACGCTGATAGGGGGAGGGGAGACAACGGGAGGGAGAAGAGGATGGGAGGGGTGAGATAATGCGAGATGTTTTTTTTCGGGCTCGTCTCAAACGGTCCCGATTTAGGCGATGGGTTTCTGAGGCGCCTCAATAGTATTTTCGGGCTCATTTCACAGGCTCCAAAGTTGGGCAATGGGCAAAGGGGTGTTCGAGCTCGAGAAATGCCAGGAGGCTGACAAGGGGAGAGTGAACATGAGGGAAGAGAGGATGGGAGGTCTTTTGAGGCGGCTCTAAAGCCAGAGATATCCGATAGTGGGGAAGACAGAAAATGAGGAGGAAGGGGAAGGAAGAAAGGAAGAAGGGAAGGGGAAGGAGGAACGAAGAAGGAGGAAGGAGGAACAAGGAAGAAGGAATGAGGAAGGAGGCCGGAGTAAGGAAGAAGGAAGAAAGAGAATAAGCATAAGGTCATCCCTTTGCGAGCTTCGACCATGGATTATCCATTAAAGGGATGACCTTCTGTTTTTTCGTGTCTCTCAATATAAAAGAGTCTCAAGAGTGGTGGTCCGAGAGCCCAGCAGCAAGAGTCACAGCAGCAGCAGCTACAGCAGGGACAACAGCAGCAGCAGGGACAGCGGCAGTGGCAGGTACCGCAGCAGGTTCAGCCATGGGGGCCCCCGTAGCTGTGGGGTCCACAGCAGCACTGAGGGCCCCCGCAGCAGCGGGGAAATGGAGGACCAGGGAGCACTGGCCACAGCAGCAGCTCTCTCAGCTAGGCCCCCCGCCCCCTTGGGCGCGACTCCGGCCCCTACGACTACTGGATCCTCACGGGTCCGGACAATCCTCATATCTACAAGCGTGGTGACCACTCTGCAACGCGATGCTTCTGCCACCTCGATGCCCTCACGGGACAAGGTCATGCGGGACGCGCCTCGCGATAGGTACAGCTCCTAGCCCATAAGATTCCTGTATTTGAACTGTCTATGGATAAGGCTCGTCAATATGCTCTGTATGCCGATGTTGACTATAATGCTTATGGATCTGTTTGCTCGTGTGTTCATGGATGAGTATCCTTGTTCGTTGGTAGTGTAGATTTTTGTCTTTTTAGTCTAGGTGCTTGTGTTGCTGCACTAGGTGTTTGTGTAGCTACCATACCAGGTGCACCTCGGGCTGAGGCATCCCTGTCCTTCACGTTGGACTCTAGCACATCTCAGTGCTTCTTCCGCGACCACACGGCTCTGATACCATCTCAAGAGTGATGCATAGCGGAATGTGTGAGTAGGAGGAGGGAAGGGGTACAAGTCAAGTGTCGAGACAATCATGTAACCCCCTACTGTGAACCCTACTATAGGCTAGAAATCTACAAAACATATATGCAACATTTGACAAGGAGGTCATTAGATGAGGCAAGCGTCAAAAGCAACGAGGAAGAGAGAACCAGCACGCCCACAAGCATCCCTTTGCGAGCTTCGACCATGCGCTGTTTATTGAATGACCACGCGAGTGTGTCTCAACATGCGATGAAAGGAATGACCTTTGCTTGAATGGACGGCATGGGTCAAGCGTCAAGGGCAAGGACGAGATTATCCGCACACTCACGGGTATTGATTTGCTAGCTTCAACCACGCAGCATTGTTCATATTGAACAACCCTCATGTCTCGATGATCTTCAATGTTTCCTGTTTAGGGCAGGCAACACTGATACTCGCCAACAGCGCACTTCCCTGGCTCGACAGAACCTCCATGGTCAGCTAAGTTATCTGTGTAAGTACCCTCGAAAAATCGTCGAAATATTCGAGCCATCTGCGCACGTTCGGATACTTGTAAGGTGAGACGAAGTCGAGGCGGAGCGAGTGCGGCGTCCGGCGCAAGAGGCGGTGGAGGCGGGAGAAGGAAAGAGCGACGCTGCGGCGATCGCAGGGGTGGGTCGCATGGGTGAGAAGCAACAAAAGGATGTCGTCCAGGAGCGGCAGCAGGCGGCTGCCGTTCGTATCATCCTTGAACGGCGTCTCCCGTCGCGTTCTTTTGATGGTGGCAAACTATTTGCGAAGGGTAACAGTTGAGGTTGAGGTTGCGATTGGACATAAACTTCAGCAGATGCGGCCTCTCTAACGCATGCAAGAACAGACGAACAGATGGTACTGTTAGGAAAAGATAATCATCTAACTTGCTAATGTCAAATGTTACGTCTACTACAGTTTGTTTAGGCTGTAGTGGGGTAGTTGCTATGGGGTACAGTAAGTTTATGGTTTCCTATTTGTGCCCAACT